GCTAATGGAATTATACCAGCATCAGAGGATTTCTGACCTATTTGTAACTGGTTTTCTTAAGGAGTTATGGTTAAAACAGTACTTGAGTAAGTTAGCTAATGGAATTTTATCTGCATCAGAGGATTTCTGACCTTATTGGTAGAGTCTATTTGTAACTGGTTTTCTTATAGAGTTATGGTTAAAACAGTACTTGAGTAAGTTAGCTAATGGAATTATACCAGCATCAGAGGATTTCTGACCTTTTTGGTAGAGTCTGTTTGTAACTGGTTTTCTTAAGGAGTTATGGTTAAAACAGTACTTGAATAAGTTAGCTAATGGAATTATACCAGCATCAGAGGATTTCTGACCTTTTTGGTAGAGTCTGGTTTAATTATGTCCAGCCTGAAATATTTTACATACTGTTCTGTTCTACTATGATAACCTTCTACCAAAAGGCATGGGGAACACTGAGATTATACACTGTGTGTATATGTTTTAAAGTTGATTGATTTACTAGCCCCTTTTCTAGCAACAGAAAATAAGGGAAACCTGATTGTACTCACCTGTCCTTTAACTAGAGCATTATCACATGTAGATAACCTTCTGGCATTGAAAAATATCTTAACTCCTGGTTTAAGAATTATATAAACTGGGGTTTGTGGGATATTAAACTGTAACTTAGTGTACATGTATTGACTTCTCAAAGTATTTGGTCATATTTATAAGTGTGTACTAGTGTTATGACAGAGTACATTTCAATAACTTATCTACAAATATCTGTTTTTGTTTTCTTCTGAGATTAACTTTTGATTAAAGTACAAAAAATAAAATTAAGCTTGTCAACATTTCCAAGATTTGTTTTATCTTCTTTGTTTACATGAGAATGTTTGTTGTGTTTTTTTCCATAAATGTGCTTTTCAGAAGCATTTTATTTTCTTAATAGTCATTTATGAAAATTTTGAATTTTTTTTTTTAGATCTAAATGAAAAAGAACCAGAAATAGACAGTGATGAAGAACTTACAATTCTGACAGCAAACACAAAACCTAACATTCCTCATCTTCAGAAAATTCATGGGATGATTCAGTTGAGAATACAAATTCTCCACTTTATCAACAGCTTGCATGCATACATTATGACAGAGGTAGGTGTATGTGATTTCAGTTTGGTTTCTCCTTTTTTTGTGTGAGAATTATCAGTATAAAACACCAACTCTTGAACTGAAATTTTATATTTAGTCATACAAATTTTTCATTTATATGAATGATAGACGTTTTTACTTTCCAGATATAAAAATAACATAAAATAAATAAGCAAAAAATGTTTATGTTGTTCAATTCTAGCAACTTTATGTTGTAGTTATAAACAAGATTGTCATGACTATTACAACTGACATTGAATATCTTTTAATTCCTTTGTTCGTAAAGACTATTAGAAACTATGAATTTCAAAAATAGCTATTACAATGTACTCTTAACAAAACAATGAAGGTTATAAGCTACTGCCAGTGGGACTTGGTGTACCAACAGAATGAAAACCTAACTGATTAAATTATTAATTTTATTATTTGTCTCTTAGTTGTTGTAATTGTTTGTATCTTTAAAGTATGTTATTATATTGTATTGATACTACTGATGTATGTATGATCCTTGTCTTATGTTTGTGTATTATTACCTAATCTTGCTCTGTAGATAATGTGTGTTTCTATGTGTAATAGTCAAATACCGAAACAGTCTGTTGTTAATCAAAATAAATCATATGAAATGAAATACTAAGTGAAACTTCATCGTAATATATATATATATATATTGGGGTTTTATTTAAATGCACAGGTAGACATGATAAGAACCTTATATATGGGTCTTTGTACTTATTAAATAACTGAACAGTTAGTTCAGTTTTAAAGCTTTTTTTTATAAATATGTATCAAATTCCTGTTGGATTGTTATCTAAGTTTTCTGTGGATGCTCTTCTTATGAACAATTTTAGGTTTTACAACCTGCTAGTGGAGAACTAGACTCTTTTCTCAAATCAGCGGTAAACTTTGACCAAGTGATTTCTACCCACAATCAATACTTGTGCCGTCTTCAGGAACATTGTCTGCTTTCTCCACATCTGTCAATTTTAAAGAAATGTGTCAGCCGAGTACTGGATTTAGCTCCATCTTTTCAACACTGCTGGCTAGAGGGTGCTGCAAACATAAAGTAATCAGAACTCTGTAATACAAACTTTTTGAATTTGAAAGATTATATTAAAATTTTAATGATACCTGATATAAACAAACAAAAAGTTAAAATTTAAAAATGATAACGAATCCGGAAAAAACTACTAAAATTTATTGTTGTCCTGTAGCAATTGAAACAGCTGAAAAATTGAGTGAACAAGGAAATAGTAAAAATAAACAAGTAAAAAGTAGAAAAATTATTTTCCCTAGGCTAAAAAATATAATTCCTATCTTTAAAATGTGAATTATCTGTATCTTAATTAGATGTTCCCCAGTGGGTCAGCCCTAAGTTTATGGACTTACAACTGTAAAATCCAGATACAACATAGATACCTCATTGAGTATCTTTGTGCTCAAAACAAAACCAATCTAGACCTTAACTAGGTATCATGCCCCCCAGTGGCACAGCGGTATGTCTGCAGACTTACAACGCTAGAAACCGGGTTTCGATACCCGTGGTGGGCAGAGCACAGATAGCCCTTGTGTCGCTTTGTGCATAATTAAAAACAAACAAACAAACTAGGTATCAAGTTTATGTTATAAACATATCAGATCTTAGTATCTGTAATGTTTGAACATGTACGTAAACTAAGTATCATCAGTGAACAGTGAATCTTGGTTTTAATAGGATTCTGTTTTTACATGTAAACTCTTATTTAAAGCAGGTAATAAAATAAGGTAAATTTGTTAAATCCTTTTTTGAAAACCGGGTATCATTATGGTTCTGATATGGATATACGAGATTCAGCTTACACTTTGATATCTAAATATGATTTAGTTAATTTAAAAGCTTATGTAACACAAGTTGATTTTTTGTTCTAAAGTATTTTTGTTTATTTTAATAACAGATAGTTTCTGTTTTCCTCTATCATGTGTAGTGTTAGTACTCTCCAGCACATAGAAGAGGAGTTCAGGCATTGTCAACAGTTTCTCGTGTCCTACCTGGCTCGACCTACACGGAAAGGTACATTCCCTCATAGTAAGTAACATTTTCTCTTTTTGCTTTTGTTACAAATACTATTTTACAGTCCATATTATGCAATACTTGCCACAATTTACAACATTTCAACAACAACAACAAAATTTTTTGAAATACAACACATTAGAAAGATAGTGACCAAAATAAACTTTATAGGTCAATGTCCATTTCACAGAAAGAAAGAAAAAAAACGTTTATTTTCTGAGACCAAGTATTTGAATTTTTAGGTTGAAACGTTGTAATGAATTTAAAAAGATGTTGTCACTGAAAAAAAAAAATCAATTTTACAAATATGATTCACTCTCGCTGATGGCATTGCCTCTTTTACATGTATAAGGCATTTATAACATAAGTTTATTTATTTTGTATTATTCGTGTTATCTTGACAACTTCATCACACTTCAAACTGTTCTGAGTTAACTAATCACAATCAGTGTATGTTTGTGGCCAGCTTAACTTACTGGAAAGTGGGAAAAACATTGAAAATTGTGTTGGCATTTTTTTACAGCCCCTAGTGGAGTTTTGTTTTGAAAACATCAGCTACATTTTATCTGATAATGGAAGAATCTAGCCTGACCTTGCCCTCAGTGTCCTTGAAAATGACCTTTTATTGTAGCTGATACTCAAGTCTAGACCTCTGTTTTTTACTACATGCTGTTTTTAACTACCCATAACATCTTCAGGGTGTCAGAGCAAAAACAAATGGCAACCTGATATTGTTTTCTTGTTTTGGAACTTGGCCCATACAGGTGGTCAGTTTCAGTAATCCACATTCAAAATGCTGTTACTTGTGTGCTTTGTTATCTCAGTTTAAGTACTGGAAAAGAAAGATTAAGAAATGTCAGAGAAAGAAAAAACAGGAAGTGTGAAAACTATGTGATACTCTAGACAGGGGGAATGTACTGCACATTCTTTATAAAGAGTAAACACATGAGGGAAAAACAAAATATTTTTAGCTTTAACATAAAAAAAACAAACTGATTTATTTATTGCTAACTTAAGCTTGATAGTAAGAACTATCAGTGATCTTAAGACTTGGGTGAACATCAGTTTTATTGCTGTTATTCTGGAATTTCTTTCTTAGACTTTGAATCTAAACAAGATTGAAGAATGAAATATTGAAATTTCCTGAATTTTCTCTCTCTCTCTTGTTTTTTTTTACTTCTTTGTTGGTGCTTTTTTAATTTAAAGAAGTTTGACTAAAAGCCAGCTTGTTCCTCCCTTAGCTCTTTTGATACTCAAAATGAATGCTAGATAACTGTCTGGGCTGCAAATTTGGAGAATGTTGGGTTTTTCTGTCCACCTTAATAGGCCATATCTGAGTTTATTATTGTTATTTATTGATCAGATTAGATAACCTGAGGTTTTTAGTGAAACTAATGTTTTATAATGTAAAGAATTCATTTGGTATACCTGTGAGCTAAATTTAAAAAAATGTATATATTTGAATTGATTAAATTGTTGTTAATTAATATTGAATTCTGATCAAAGCAAGCTACCTATCTAGATCAGAACTAAAAATCATCCCACTAACGAATGTAGCTAATTAAATATATTGTTCTTAAGTAAAATAATTAGAACATTAAAACTGTTTATAAAAAATTTTGCAAAAGTGGAACATCAAACTACAAGACAATTTTAAGTAGCTATTTCATTTAAATGCTTTATAATGATATAAAACATTTAAATTCAAATTTAATATATATATAAATTATGTTTGAACCATAATTTTGTTAGTGCTTTTTTGAGTTAAAAAAATACTTCTTTTTTTTTTCCTGTAGTGGAAAGCTTAGCTTTCGCTATACAGACACTGGAAACTATGACAAAACTCTTTCCAAAAACTTAACAAAGGATTCCAAACCTTCAGTTATTTCAGGTGTGTATTTATCCTTTTAGGCATCATGTTTATTAATGAGATTGGTTAATACATTTGATTTGCTTATATTTTGTTTTTATGTAAAGAAATGCCAAAGTTTTTGTCAATTTGAGCTTTCAATCATTGTATTCAGCATCTTTAATTTCATCATTTAACTGATTTGTTTTTCTGTATTTCAGGAAATATTACAAATCAATAAGGACTTAACCAGGATTAAAACACCTTATTGTGACAGTAGGAAAGGCAGTATGCTACGTAGTTAGCTCTTCATCTAACACTGCTTTTAAAAAGCTTTGTCACTTGTTTTAAATTTTCTGTCTAAATTAACTCATTAGTTGTAAAAATTTTAAAAACAATAACCTTTCAAAAACATGACCAAGTATCACTTATTACTTGATGGTTAGAGCAGAAGATATTGTTTAAAAAATCTCAATAATATTAAAATTGTTCAGATTTATAATAACAATTGAATTGAACAATCTGTGTTACATGTGTTGTATGTTTTCAAAAATTATAATATACAGCTCTTAAAAGAGGTTTTTGTAAAGGAAATGACCTGTTGTAATATTGCTTTTAGATGTTAATGTGAAAAAAAACCTGTCTCATAATGTAATACATCCTGCAAGGAAACTAAATGTGGGCTGTTAGACATCGTGCTTACTCAGTTACTAATTCTTTATAGAGTTCTTAAATGCTAAAAATGTTATGCATACATAAATTAGAATCATTCTTGATTGGTGTTGTGCCTTGAAAATTATAAAGTATGAACTTAATTACATTGTTATAATATAGCATCTTTGGTAGCTCTGTGATACTGAACAATTTGGTCATTTTTTTGTCAAATAGTTGTTCAATTCTTTTATCATAGACTTTACACTGCAGCTAATATCTGTACATTGGTCAAAAGCTGTTCTGGATTTTACTGTTTAAAATGTTTAATTTTGAGAAATTATAAGACTTGGATGTATTACTATTGTATCCGTTGTGTTATGGTATGATGTTTAAGTTTGATAATTTTATGCAAAGTTTCATAAGGCAGCATTTCCATGAAAACCTGCCTTTAAAAATGCCACATTTGAGTTGGAGGTTTTCTTACACTTGTAAACCTATCATCTTATATAATTTTTTAACTTTCTCTACACACGTATATATATTAATATTAATGTTTGTATGAAATTATGTATTTAATAAATTTCTTAAATTGAACTTGGAAATGCAAAACTTTTAATTGTACCAAGTTTGATTAAAGCACTGTACGTTAGTAAAAAAAACAAAATTTACTACTATTTGTTAATCTTGATTTACCTAATATTTCCTTTCATAAAAGTTGTCAGAAAAAAATACACTTCTTAAAGCTTTAATCAGAAACAAAAATTTTGAAAACAAGAACCTTGTAGAAACAGTTTCTATTAATAGTTTTCAACAGAAACAGTAGTTTTGAAAAGTTTTGTCAGGCACAGAATCTTTAAAAACTATTAGGTATAAACAGGATTTTCTGATTGTGTTCCACAGAAACTGATTGTGGAAAATGTTTTGTTGAAATGAAACTTTCTATCCAGTTTCTTCTTGAACTTCATTAAAAATGTAATATACACACAAACCTTTGCAACCAGCATTTTAGGTTTGTTGAGAAAATATTCAAAACTGTTAGAAGAATATTGAATTTGAAAATATTGCTAAAATAACATTCATAAAAATAAGGAAATAATATCTGAGAGACTAGAACCGTCTTTTTATGTTGGACTTTCACAGTTAACCAAAATTTCTTTTTACTGTGCTTCATTGTTTTATGTGGAGACATGGATGTATCAAAAATCTGTGTAAAAATCTATATTTAATTCATTTGCAAGTGGGAATACATTTTTGAAAAAAACAAAAGTAACTACATTACAAATTATTAAGAATTTAGTACAATCTGCTGCTTAACTGTGAATTACAAATGCCACACCCAAAATATCAAGATATGGGTTGTAGTGTTCACTGTCCTAAATAACGACTACTAATCTCCAAGGTGTGCTTCCAGCAGATGGAAGTGAACAGTTTGACTCCATTGTTTATAAAACCCTGCTTGTTGATAATGTTACTTTTAACCAAGCTTGGATTTACCAGCTGACTTCCAGCAGATGGAAGTGAACAGTTTGACTCCATTGTTTATAAAACCCTGCTTGTTGATAATGTTACTTTTAACCAAGCTTGGATTTACCAGCTGACTTCCAGCAAATGGAAGTGAACAGTTTGACTCCATTGTTTATAAAACCCTGCTTGTTGATAATGTTACTTTTAACCAATCTTGGATTTACCAGTCTTCTTCCAGGAAGGTATATTCTGATGAAATAATGCATTTGTTTTGTTACAAAGAAATGGTCTTAAAACCTGGATCGTATTAATCTAAGATATATTTATATCCATGGGTATTTAAATATAGACACACTTCTCTGATAAGTCCTACACCCAATACAGTCACAGTTCAATTCTTTACTTGCCAGACCCAAAAACAATATTCGGCCATCGCTTTGAAAGTAGGCTTAGCACCACACTTAACTGTCCTAGATGACCAACCAGTTGTCAAGATTTGGTTGCTGGTAAACTACACTAGGTGTTCTCAAACTAGGGACTGTGAAACTGGAAAGATGCAACACGTCTCTCGGAAGTTTGTTTTTTTATAAATATTATCTTATTAAAAGAGGATTGCATCTTTTCAACCTCTTCACTGACTGGTTTTGCTACAGACACTTTTTTTTCGGCATCCTAGATATTTTGTGATTGAGTTTTTTTTAAAGATTGAAAACCCTCCTGTTTATTCCAAGCATTCTTGGATGTGGTTTACGACTTGTGACCAAAATACCCACTTCATGGAGAGGGCGCTGTCCAGACGTCGTGGATGATGCCTGTTCGCAGTGGATGCTGTAAAGTCACTGTGATTTTCTTGCAAATATGACTTCTGGCGTTCTTTCACAGTCATTCGTCAATGTTTTATCAAACAGTATTGCCAGCCAGTCTGAACAAATGTTAGTTGATGTATTTTCAAGTTCTTTGTACAGTTAGGTTCCCTCATGAACTGTATATTGCGACTATTTCAAGCGTGGATTTTTTTCCACAATTCTAACAATCTTTAAGTTCGCTTCTCTAAATTCACTTGCTTCACGACGTTTTATGGCACATTGTATCTACTTCAACACTGTTAATCTTCATAACTGGTGTTTTTCAGTGTTTATATTCTCTTGAGTTCCACTAGTAGGAACATATTGGGTTGTACAGTTACTCTGACGGGGTATTGTGTTATAAACTTGTCAGCATTGAACTATTTTTCACAGTCATTCGTCATTGTTTTATCAAACAGTATTGCCAACCAGTGTGAACAAATGTTAGTTGATGTATTTTCAAGTTCTTTGTACAGTTAGGTTCCCTCATGAACTGTATATTGCGACTATTTCAAGCGTGGATTTTTTCCACAATTCTAACAAACTTTAAGTTCGCTTTTCTAAATTCACTTGCTTCACGACGTTTTATGGCACATTGTATCTACTTCAACACTGTTTTTCTTCATAACTGGTGTTTTTAAATGTTTATATTCTCTTGAGTTCCACTAGTAGGAACATATTGGGTTGTACAGTTACTCTGACGGGGTATTGTGTTATAAACTTGTCAGCATTGAACTATTTTTAAGGTATAAGCTTGCTGGAGCTGTATAATATCCCACTTCATGTGTTCAACAAAAATAGTATATCAGTCAATGATAATAAAGAAAAAGTGCTTGTATTTAGATTCCTTCCCTTTTCAGATATTTAGTAAAACAAACGTACACAAATAATCCCCGGTGTAGTTTTTAACTTAAATGTGAATTATAGATTTCTAGCCTGGATTTCACGTTTTTCCATAATATATAAATATTTTTTTTCATTAAGTGATACTAATATTCAACTATTAAGTGCAAGCGAACAACTACTGGTGTATTTATAAATCCGCGGCATATCGGCTCATAGAATGGTTCTCGAGTTTGTTTGTTTTTTTTTTCAAATACAAACTTCTAGCTCGTAGCTCCATCTCTTGACCGATTTGAAATATATAATTAATTTTTTTTGGACTCGGGAGGTCAAACCCTTTAGGTTGATGCAATTGACCATGCCCAAGATCTCATAGGTTAATTTACTCAAATCGTACCTGAAAGAACTTCAATGTGAGGGTAGGGTGGTAGAGATCCTGATGAGTAATAAAATCGAATCGGGTATACGCGCGATCCACGTTTGATATTGCTGACGCACAAAAATATAGCTATTAAATTAGATTAATTTACTGTAATCTTGCCTAAAAGAATTTTAAATGCCGCTGCTATTGAGGGTTCCATCTTGTTTTCACTTTACATTATTGCACAAACTTGGAAAAAGACAACGGATTAGCGTGAATTTTTTTTCACCCAAATACCTACGAAAGAAAGACAACTACTTAATTGGGTTTACAGACATAGGTATTCAGCTTGAGGTCTCGATCTTCGGAACCTACAAAAGAAAGAATACTACGTAATTGGGTTTACATACATAGGTATTCAGCGTTGACGTCTCGATCTTCGGAACCTACGAAAGAAAGACTACTACTTAATTGGGTTTACAGACATAGGTATTCAGCTTGAGGTCTCGATCTTCGGAACCTACAAAAGAAAGAATACTACATAATTGTGTTTACAGACATAGGTATTCAGCGTTGACGTCTCGATCATTGGAACCTACAAAAGAAAGACTACTACTTAATTGGGTTTACAGACATAGGTATTCAGCTTGAGGTCTCGATCTTCGGAACCTACGAAAGAAAGACTACTACTTAATTGGGTTTACAGACATAGGTATTCAGCTTGAGGTCTCGATCATCGGAACCTACGAAAGAAAGACATCTACTTAATTGGGTTTACAGACATAGGTATTCAGCTTGAGGTCTCGATCTTCGGAACCTACAAAAGAAAGAATACTACATAATTGGGTTTACATACATAGGTATTCAGCGTTGACGTCTCGATCTTCGGAAAAAGAGTTGAACTCCAAAAATGCATTTTTGGCAGTTTTCTCGTCGGTATTGTTATAGTTGTCCTAGTTTATAATTTACTGTTCCACCAAATAGTTGTTTGAACCACATAAAACACTTCTAGGTAGATGATTCAATACGGGTTGCATTCCTTACTTACACTGCAGGAGACACGAGGAACATCCCATTCTCGTTCCCAATGCGTCTTGTTTGAAATTGGTAACATGCTTACCAAAAATTATCCTAACTTAATATAATTGAAGTCGAAAATGTAGACACTCAAATTTGACATTGTTTCTGTTAATTAGAATAAAGAAGCAAGCACGTGCAACTCTGTTATACCCAAAATAACTGCATAAGCTTCAGCGAGATTTTTTCTTAAATGAAAATTATAGTGTTTAACTTGTGTAGTACTTCAAGCGTGAATACTAACTCACGGAATGAATAGGTGGGATTTTTTTTTATTGTGTGTTTAACGATGTTTTTCTAACCAAATTTGGGTAGCTTTCTTCATAATTCAAGCTACGATTAAAAATAAAACTCGGTGCAAATTTGTCCGAGGCTTACAGTTTTAAACATTTATAGCTTCATCTATGGCGTATTTCAAAACCCCTGGAGCGTAAATAAGGAGAACGAGAACAATGTAATATCGTAGTCTTTAGAAATTGTGTCAACATTATTATAGAATGCTTGTTGTAGTATCTAAAGTCGAGCGCGAAAGGGCATAATTGTATACGCCTGTCGTTCCCTGCAGTTTTTATAAAACGTGTCACAAGGTAGCGCCTCTTGCAGGTAAAGTTCTTTAAACTCAAAGTGGCGTCCTAATACATGCCAGATTTCAACTATTCGACAGTGTTGATGTGCAATTAAAGAAACACTTTTCGCTAATAAAGTAGGATATGCTTACCAATTTTTAGAGGATATTACTTTGTCACGTGTGATTATTTAGAGGCTTTCTCTGAAAGTAACCCAAGTTTACAAAGTTTCCACCAAGCGCGATCATGGCCTGGTGGTTAGAGCGCTCGATTCGCAACTTTTGGTCACAGGTTCTTATCCCCGTCACCGAACATGCTCGCCTTTTCAGCTATGGGGGAGTTATAATGTGACGGTGAATTCCATTATTTATGGGTAAAAGGGTTGGCAATAAGTGGTGTT